CCCCCCTCCCCCGCCCCTCTCCCTTCTCCCTTCCCCTCCCGCTCTCCAACGAGGCCTTCTTGGATCCGCCGCTGGCTATGCCAGATTATTTTGCGACTTCCCACTGACCGTTTATTGTCGTAAATGTGATTAAATGAGGGATGATTTCTTCCATTTCTAGATACTGAAGTATGAACTGAAAGAACCTGAGTTTCCGCCATTATTGTTGAATGCTTATTGGAAGTTGGAAGCGCAGAATACGGATTTGAGGATCGATTATCGGCTAAATATGAGTAGCAGTATTACTTGCTCATTGTTAAATATTGTATTCACAACAAAAGTGGAAGGAGCAGTGGTGAATGTAATTGCGGATCCTAAGGCAGAATGGTGAGTGATGAGCAGTGCTCAGGGATACTATAAATAATGCCATAGCACAATTACTTCTTTTTTTTTTCTTAAGGGCTGTCGCCTGTGCTTCTTTATTAGTTGTTAAGGAGTCATGTACAGACTACTTATGCAAAGTCTTTTTTTTTAACTTTGGCTTAATTGTTTTTTTTTTTCAACCCCTTCCTTGTCTTCGCTTCCTTCTTCGTTCTCCATCCTTCTTTTTTGCTACCTTACTGGACCCATCCATTACAGATTCTGTTGATTTTACTTTATTTTTAGGCATTTTTTTAGCCACAGCTCAATTCACTAAATATTGACGTTATAGGTCACCATCGAGTAATACCATATCATGGAAGTTGACGGAGCTTTCTCGTGATGGTGATTGCAGTGGCTCACTGAAAGCAAGACTTTCACTATCTAGTGGTCCTGCAGCGGCATCCCAAGTCTTCGTTCATTTCCAGGTATTTCGTTGTTTTCGTTTTCCTTTTTATGCGCCTTATGCTATGCAGAAGCCGCACAAAACACGTATTATAGCGGGGTCATCTGTGTGTGTGTACGTGTGTGTGTGTGTGTACGTGTGTGTGTGTGACCGACGCACTTTGTTTTCCTTCGCGGGGGGAGGGGAGGTGGTTTACCTTCGCAGCTTCATCTTATTCGCTTTCAGCTTTACATAAGCATCAGCTTTGTAGATATGGAAGTCCCCTACTGATGGCGTTTTCATGGCGTTGAAGGCTGCAAAAATTCGTGACATATTTCAGACTGTGTCAGAGACGGAGCCATATGAAAATGACTGGCGTAGCATCAGTTTGCCAGTGAAAAGCATTCGTTGTTAAGTCTTTCGATAGTTCCCTGTTGTGAGCTGACAGAAAAATTAGGCCTAAAGCATTTTAATTTTCTGCCGTTATCACCAGCGTTAGATTGGATGTTTTCTTCTAGAGAATTCAAACTTGTGATTCGAACTTGGTAATTGTTGCTGCTTCCCTTGGTGCTCTTCTTATGTAAGGAAAAAAGAGCAGTGTGGTTATATTGGTCGCTGTAATTATGAACAAGGGGTTTTATCCGACTTTTTGCTGATAATTTTAGCCATTCACTTTTTTTTTTGCTTTTTTATGTCCTAGAAAACTGTACAAGAACTGTGAAGCACTTCTGATTCTTCGTTATTTTCAGACATCGGATGCATCGATTTCCGGTACGAATATAGTGCTTGCGGGTGATGACGTGTATCACTTATCAATGGTACGACGAAAAGTTTTTTCGGGCAAATATTTCTGTGATGCAGAAATTCGTAAATAATCTGTCCCGGTGTCCCCAGCTAAACACGAAAAAATCAGATTACAGGTAACATGCTATAGCTAAACCAGTGCAGCGTGATCATGGTAAATTTCATGAAGACATTGTCCGGTCAGTATTATTCGCTGTCTTTGTATTCAGTGCTCATCATCTTAATCATGCTTCTTTTTTTAAGCAGTTGAATTGTCATTGATATTACTAAGAAATTTAGGGAATTAATCATCGGGAAGTG